CATAATTCAATCTTTGAAATAACAGAAACTAACACATAATAACGATAATCAAATTTGTGTTTGAAGTTCGAAAGTAATTGCGTTATTTTCGGTTTCAACTAGTTCGAAAATAGAATGTCCTTGAGCGCAATAAAATCACGCGTAGAACTCCATCCGAACCAGACTCTAGCAGCGTAAACTTATTGCAATTTGCGCGATTTGGGCCCAGTTTGTTCTTACAAGTTTTCTAAGTTTCATTTATCATTATTTAGTAAACAGGTCTCTGAAACGATTTAATATATCCGTAAAATACGTGTCAATCGACGATTAACTTCGAAACGTTGGAAATTTCGAACAAACTCCCGGCACACCTAGCGCTATATGAGTCAGATCGATGTAGAAGAACTGCAGCGTCAATGGGGTGTGTCTTGCATGCATAGTCAATGAGATGTGGGTGTATCGTGCGTGCATAATTGAGATGTGGATATATCTTGCATGCATATTTAATAAGATGTTGGCATGTGTTGCTTGCAGTGAGATGTGGGTGTCTATTTTGTGCATAATTAATACATACAAAATGTGGGTGTGTCTTAGCCTTATAATCTTGACATTGATTCAGTCATCATTTTGCACCATACCAGTGTTACTATATACATTATTGGACAGAATTTGGCACTATGACATGTAATGTATAGGTGAAAACAAGGCTATTTGCAATAGTGACAATATAAACCTTCAAGCCATTCATCTAGATCACTACCTGTAATTAAAAATTTCTGTTATACTCAGTCTGGCTGTCTATCCATGTTTGTTTTTAATCTAATGTTGCCTTTTATCTTTTGTAGACCATTCTTTACGACTGTGGAATATCAAAACAGATACATGTGTTGCCATATTAGGAGGTATTGAAGGACATAGAGATGAAGTACTTAGTGCTGTAAGTATAACGCAACCAGTGCTTAACATCCCCTTGTTCTTTTGTCGCGTTTCTTGCTTTGGGTCTGGCTTAAGCACTGTAAATTCTATGATCACCTAGTTTTTTGTTCTTATTATAGATCAGAAGGATGAACAAGGCAAACTTTGCTGTCATTCTCATTGTTGTCATTTTTGTTGACGTCGTTATTTCATATAAGTTTCCTACTGACCTGTTATAAAATTTGTTATAAATAACAACATAATTTTAAAAAATAAGTGAAGTAAATATATAAAATAAAATACATGACGTACAACACATCAGATTTTAATCGGATTGTTTTCTGGACCCAGAAGAGCTATTTATCACTTTTCCAATAATATCGTTTTGACAAAATTGTAATAGCTTAGATCCCCAAATTTCTCACGTTATTGTGCTCAGTAGGCCAGACATTGTTTTATCAGCTCACTCACTGATTGCTCACTTGTTCATCACATGCAAAAATGAAGACCAAAAAGAGCTAATTATTATTTTTTCAATCCATACCATTTTGAAAAAATGTTATAGCAAAACTGCTCCTAATCACCCATGTTATCTTGCTCAGGAGAGCCATTTTTAAATGCTGGGGTGTGAAGCAAGTTGTGTTATATCTGATGGAGATCTTATAGAAATTGAAAAAGAGTTATGTCAATTGTTCGATGATTACACACAAAATACTGTAGAATACTTTATTTTTGCTTGGAATTTTTTTTTGCTGTTTTCGCTGAAGGGATGATTGCGTGATAATAAAATCCAGCGAATATATTTTTTTCCTATATTTTACATTCAACTCATCAAAAATCAGTGAAAATAAATTCCATACAAAACACCCAAAATGCCTTTTCAGCGAAAATTAATTCCAGTTAAAATAAAGTATTTCACAGTACATAAATTTCTAGAAATTATAATGCAAATGAGTGAGCCAGTGAAAGATCTACAGCTTTCTGTGCGACTACTTGATTAGTACAGATATGGAATAGAATCTTCATTGCCAATCTTTATACACTGATATTAAAGGAAACATCAAGCCAAACAACATAATGACCCCTCAAGAAAAAGCACCACAAATGTAGGAGAATGCAATTTACAGTTTTTTTATATCACTTTTCGTTGTCTAGATATTCAACTTTGTATCAGTATTATGTAGTCAGCTATTTTGATTTGATGGCTGGGTTTGTTTATTTCAGGACTTTGACTTGGATGGAAAGAAAATCATTTCGTGTGGAATGGACCATTCTTTAAAAATCTGGAATTTGGATACTGGTAGAATACAAGATGCTGTCAAGAGATCAAACGAGTACAGCCACGGCAAAACGGAAGTGTAAGTGTATTTTTGTCTTTGCAACGCCACAGTTTTCTCGTGCATGTTCGATCCCGCATGTTTGACATGCACATTCTTCAATTTTAAAGCGCGGTAGTCGTTACGCTGCACATGTGCGACATTTCTGTTGATAAAAAACGTCCCACAATCCAGTGCACTCTTCAAATGAAAATCACAAGTATGAGGTTTGACCTGGGCGCGACTTGCACTGATTACCGCCACCTTCCAATAACATGAAAATTAATTAATTAAAGCTTGGAAACGTCTCAGTTCGTACTTGTTGATCTGCGCAACAGTCAAAGTCGCCTTCTTTGTTTATATGAGACCCATATATCTCGCACATGCGCAGTGTGACGACTACCGGGCTTTAACAAGTGTAAAATACATTGTGAAATTCAAACATGCATTGGCCGAATGCGATTTTGCACCTAAATCAAGTTTTAAGCATGTACTGTAAAACCATTTATTTTCCCTGACAGTTAATTTCACTATTTTGATGTTTTGAGCATATTCACTTTGTTTTAATTTCACGAATTTGTCAAGGAAACAATGAGTTTTATTGTTATTTTACATGTTAATGTAGATTTAATTTAGTGGATTTTACTTATCAGCGAAAATATCGAAAGTAAAACCCAGTGAATTATTAATGCATTAACAATTAACTGAGTTCAATTTATGGAGGTGTTTCGTTTATAAGTTTAATATTTTTTTTACAAAAGCGAGTCTATGCAGAAAGAGCACAAAAGATGTATAGACCGGTACACCCCAAATATTGACATGTAACTTTTTACTCAAGTTTCATACAACCATTACAAAATTCAGTAATAGATGACTGTGTTTGTTTTGGTGAGCTTGTGTACTATTGAAGTGAGCTCACATATAGTTACTGTTTCAGCGACAGCAAATTTGTTTGTTGAACTGATTTGTTTTGAACAGTGCCCTCTATGGTCAACATCATCTATCTTTCTTCTTTATACAATACATGCGAAAGGTGTTTTATTCCTTGATAAGATTATGATGGTTTTGGAAGAAAATTGCATCTCAAAGTTAAACTGTGCAATTTTTTATTGACAGGCCATTTGCATCGTTATCTGTGCATTACCCTGACTTTTCGACTCGTGATATTCATCGTAACTACGTGGACTGTGTCAGATGGTTGGGTAATTTTGTCTTGTCTAAGGTATGTCTACATCTATCACTACAAATCATTTCACAAATGGGGAATTTGCACACTACATGTTTTATTGGGGCTTTTTCAAGGACATTTCAATTATACAGTTCATCCTTCCACAGAGTGTATGTGCGTCATTCAAATATTATTCTGATCATTAGCAAAATACTGTAAAATCTGTATTAGAAACCGCGGCTTCTATTGAAATGATACAATACAACAGAGAGGATGTGGCTTCTATTAGAGCATCTACACATATGAGAAATGATGATTTTTTGGTTCTCAATTGTTTAAAAAGAATGGGTGCAACTTCTATTAGGGATGCGGCTTCTAATACAGATTTTACGGTA